TTAAACAATAGGATAGACCAGTTTCGGGAGCTGTCAATAATGTTAGTACTAGAAAATATTAAACCTAATTTATTACTTACATTACAGACGACACTATCATTTTCAAGTATACCCTGTAATCCTAAAACATATTGGAATGCCTCACAGTTTTTAACATGATCAAATATAACACTATCAGATCGTGAAGAATGTTCTTTAAATCTAGTTATTAAGCACCTATCTGTCTTACCAATATAATCACTATTGCAGCCTGGACATTTAAAATGATAGACAACAGAACGTCTGTACTCCTTAGGGGTTTGATCCTTAGTAGATATACAATGAGAAACATTTTTATACTGCCATAAATTTATGAATTTTACCTCTTTAATTAAGTGTTTCACCTTATTTAAACATCTACGTAAAATGAACTCACCTGGTTTTCCTAGATAAGACAATCTAACCCAAATTTTAATCAAGCTATCATCAGTAGGCCTATGTATACATTTAGGTTCATTTAATTTCTTAAGTACATTATTAACAACTTTTAAAGGGTACCCATTCCAAGACATAAACTTCCTGATGTTACTAAGCTCTGTTTGAAGTTTATCAGGAGTACACAATCTGTGGGCTCTAGAAACTAAACTACGAATCCGGGAGATCTTATGGTTCCATGGAGCAAAGCTATCATAATGGACATATTGACCTGTATGTGTATTGTTACGATAAATACTCATGCTTCCTCATGCTTCCTACACTGTTATTAAATTGTAAATCCAGAAAGTGTGCTGTGTCACTGTTTTCAAATGATTCAAAAATAAAATTTATCTGTCTAGGAAAAGCATTGAAGTAGCTTAGAATTTGCGGGAAATCATTGGGCTTAGCTAATACTAGCGTGTCGTCAACAAAACGAGTATAAAACTTAATAGTACCTGATTCAGTAAGTTTAGGAACAATAGACTCTTCTAGTTCAGTCATTAAAAAATTAGCTAAAACTGGGCCAAGAGGCGAACCCATTGAGACACCATCAGTTTGTTTATTAAATTCATTATTACATGTAAATACAGTTTTAGCAATACAGCAATCTCTAAGTAGTTTCCTTAGCGAATTTTTCTTAAGGTTAAGCTGCGTGGTTAATGAACAGTTAACCACGCAGCTTAACTACTTACAAGCCTACCGCCGGACACTATTTAATAGAAATGAACTAACTGAAACTGAATACAAGAAATTCGTCCAGTATCAACCATGCCTGCTAGAGCCCATGGACTACCTAAATTACATAAAGATTTTGATAATATTCCACCCCTAAGACCTATTATTGACACGACCGGTACTTGTTATTATTCAGTAGCTAAGTACTTATCAAACTTATTAAGTTGCACAATATGCAGATCTGCCAATTCAGTATCCAGTAACCAGGGAAATAATGATGCCAGCGCCTTGTATAATCGCTTGTAAAACCATCAAAAAGCATAGGCAAGACCATTCTCGACCGGATAAACCATGACCAGCTTACAAAAACACAAATAAACAAATGGAAAAACACCATTTCTGTCACTGAAAGTCTATCTCTTTTGACATTGTGGAACTCCAATTGTCTGTCACAAATATTGTTAACAGACGATATCTAGTACGCACGAAGCACACTGGAATCTGAAGACAAGCAGATATTATTTACTCAACATTGACTAAGAAAAATTCAGACGACATGTTTAACATTACTGTGGGAAGTTACGGTGGGTTCACTATTAACTGTATTTTATTTCCTGTTTAATTATTGTATACTGTAGTTTAGTCACCAGCAATTAAGTCTTAATATTAAACTGGCTCAAAAGCTCTGCCAATAATCTATCGCTTACATATTCAATGTATATCAATTAATGTATATATAAAGACAAATGCGATTTTCATAACAATAATAATTTTATACAATTAATATTGTGATGAGCGATGAGGTAATTTTGATACGAACAGAGTATGTCATTAATTAATATTCACTCTCTAATTAAAGAAACTTGCGATATTGACTGCTTGAACGGCGGAGTCTGTGCTTTGGATTACGGAATCGAGAACTGTCAGTGTATGTCTGGTTTTGTTGGACCAACTTGCAATATGTGTAAGTTTTTACAGCGATAAATAATAATGTGCATTACGTATTGAGCTAAATATAATAATAGAACTAGTGTGCAGAACATGGTTGGAAACTTAACATGATCAGTTTCTGAAAAAATTGTAAATATTTTGCATAAATCTAGGCTAATAGAATATTAAAAAATTAATGTCAACATCAGTAGTAAGTTTCAGTTTGCAACTGAGATAATGTATATATCTCTTATTCATTTATTATTTATTTTACTAATGCCTCCTGAAAAGATCAAGACTTAAATGATGCTAACTGGAGTACATAAACACAGATCTCCGGATTCCAGTGATGTGTAACCCCATACTTCAGTTTGGGTGCTAGCTAGATGTTTATTGATTTTTGTTTTCTTGTGTGTGTGTGTGTGTTTGTTTTTGTTTGTCCTTTTTTATTGTTTTTGTCTAGAATATTGTCGGGCGCATAAAGACCTCTGTTACCTGCGCTACAAAAAAATATTATTATTATTATTATTAAACGAAAAATAGTATAGAGACAACATTAGAAAAGGGGATTTATTATCTAACCATTTTAACTTTACATATGTAATCTTGCATTATTCAATGACATGGTTCATTGACCTTAAAATCTTTGGCTATGTTTAAAGTAAAGGTATTTAAAGTAAAGTGGAATTAAAAACGAGAAATCGCATGAACCAATAATACAATTTTTAAGAAGCTAATTAAGTAATGTAATATTTAAAGTTTCAAAACGAAAATAGTTTTGGTAATATACCATTACATTATGGAACAATGTGTTGTGAAAACCGGTTTGACTTTTGCGAGTGAATTTTGGAATTTGTTTTTTTTTTTATTATTATTGAAATTCTTGCAAAATAATGATAAGATGTTTTCCTAACAAGGTAACGAATTAATGTACTTTGTTTTCCAGTAACTGTTTTAACCAATGCAATTATGCAACAATCCCTTTTATTTCTAAGACCGTTTCGTTCATGGATCCATTAAACTTAGTTTTTTGCTGAATTCAAGTATGGTATACAAATTTCGATGGTCATGGCACTCCCAGTTATTATCCTATCATTTATAAGTTAGACCAATTATAAATATGTGTGCCCTGCAGAATTTGGGGCTGAATTCAAGTATGGATATACAAGTATGCTTAGTAACAATGGTCAATGTCAAAAAGGTTATTTCTGGTCAATTTTTTTATAAATTATTCTATTCGTACAAATATATATAGTTATGTTCTCCACAATTTCAGAATTAAACCAATTTTCTTAACCAATAGTTATAGAGATGAGATTATGCCAGACAAATAAGGTCAAGGGTGAAACATTGTACTTTTAAAGTCAATTTATTTATATATAGATTTTTGAAAATTTAAACAAATCTTTATAGAGGGTGACCCTTCTAGCTAGGCTTTTAATAAACAGTGTCGCATTAAAGTGAATATCAACGCATGGATCTTCTGAGTATTTTGATCATAATGATGATAAATTCATCAACAAAGACTGTTTATACGGGCTAAGAAAACATCTGCCTTATTTTAGGGAGTGGGTCTACATGGGCACTCTTTTCTATAATTTTCTGAGCCTCATTCAAGTCACCAATTATCTTTCAAATTAATAACTTAAGATTGTGTTTCGCCCTTAAATTACTATTTGGTTGAGTCAAACTATCCGATATGTCCAAATTATGGTCAGGTTTATTTTACATATTATGATAGACTTCGGAACGGTTTTGGAACATTATTTTACAGAGATTGATAGATTTCCACGTTTGACGTTCGAAAATGAGTCAATACGAAATAATTTCCTATGGAGAATATTTTTTCTTCACCTTTCATCATCGTTCATCCTTTTTATTTAATTGCTACAACTTTAACGCTTTCAACGTGTATTCACACGGGGGAAAGTCTCTAGTTGGCTCCCAGTTAAATCTGGTGTCCCTCAAGTCTCAGTACTAAGCCCTTTACTCTTTGTTGTGTATGTTAATGTGTTGCACCTTAATATATCATCTTCAATGGTTCAATATGCTAACGATGTGTTTATACAGAAGTTTTGATCATGAGGTACTGACCTTGCACTTCAGGGTGACTTACAACATATATAGGGTTATGGCCCCAAAAGAACCGACTGAAACCCCAACAAATGTAAAGTTATGATGGAAAAGACAGTGTGAAAAACGATTTTATGTAATTGTTAATTCAATTTTAAAATGTGTTGACTCTCACAAATTATTAGGCTGTATTATTCAAAAAAAATCTTTCATGGGATATGGAAGTTTATGAGCCAGTAGCTAAATGTAATCACACTTGTGGTCTGGATTGGATTGGATTGAATTTATTCGGTTGTGAACACCAATGAGAGCAAACGAAAGTCTAGAAGAAGACTTATTTCCAGTGGGATCCTTCTGGTGGTGATTGGGAAGTACACCGGGGGACAATCCCCTACTCTTTTCCTAAGAGTGTACTGGTTTCTTTAACGTGCACGTGGGCCATAAATACATCGAAAATATACTAGAGTTTGACTATTTTCGAATAATTTGATTTTTTAACTGAAAATTGTTTTCATTTCATTTTCATTTATTGATATAAAACAAAAACTCAGAAAGTAACATAGAAATGTGGATTGAAAGGTATCTAAACGGTAAATAATATAAGACATCAAACGGAATAAATTGATGCCTAAACTAAAACACCAACATTTGACAAGGATAATAAAACATGACTTACAATATACTATATATACAAGAAAATACATAATATAACATTTCTTGCATTGACGTCATTTCAATCATTGTACAGTTACCATTAAAATTTAAATAGTATAACCTGCATCGTGAGCGTCTTTCCTGTAATGCCAACAAGTACGAAGTATATTTACTTTGTTTTTGGCTCTCCACCTGGCTTTTCCCATTTCTGTTTTTTTTTATTATTAATATAGATATTTCTTTGCTGAAATTATTAAAAATTTAAAAGTTAATATTAATGTAATTATTATTACCCGTTATAGTGTTAATCCTACTGAACAGTTCACTGGACCACCTGAACCATTAAGTGAACCAGTTGAAACTGATGAAGTTGGAAATGTAGCTAACAATAAAAAAAAATATATCGTGCAGTTGGTCTAGATAGAAACTAATCACTGACCAAACGTATTTTGAAAAGCATCAATATACTAAATGCATTGGTGAAGCAGTGTTAGCTCCACTTTCGAATGCAAATAAAGAAAATAAAAGGTTAAAAAACGTTACACTAACAATTTTAAGTAATTTACATTCCAAAATTATCCTTAATAGCATTAAAGAAGATCGAAAACAAGTAAAGATCGTAGCAGAGTTACAAATCTCTCTAATTTTACTAATACAAAACGATTTAAGTAACCATAATCGAAAATTAAAAAAACAAAAAGGTGTTAAAAAAAGCTTTTACAACTTGCCGTAAGTAAGTATTGTTGAACCCAGATTAAAAAATAAATTACACCTACAAGATAAAGAAGCAAATAATGTAATATATTATTGAAAATGTGAAAACAAAATTTGTTTGTAGATCAGTAAAATGTGGAAGTATTTTGAAGGCCAGTTCGACTTTTTACCAGTAAAATTCTAAAGTTCATGAATTTTTTAATTATTTGAAAAATTCATTCTTAAAATGTAAAATAGGAATATATTATAATTAAACTCATTGCCAAAAATTATTGGTATATTGAAGTGTAAAAGTTGTTTACTATTAAAGTCACGAATTATTATTGAGACTACATAACTGCAATGACTTTTTTTTCTTGTATAATTAGTAGCGCAAAGCAAATGTGATTTCGAGGATCCATACATTTGTTACTTTGATCAAGATGAACTAGATGATTTTGATTGGATAAGAACATCTGGATCAACACCAACATCTGGTACTGGCCCTGGGTATGACCACACCTACGGAACATTACAAGGTATTAAAAAGCTGACATGTATTTAAATTTCCAAAATGAAATTGTAAATTCTTAATGAAAATATTTCTAAAACTACAAACGAAATAAATAAAATAAACTACAAAGAGATATAACGACAATATCTCTTAAACAAAACATTTATTTTATCATTTGCCTACAGGTTCCTACATGTACATCGAAACTTCATATCCGCGATACAACAACGAAACCGCTCGTCTATGGACATCTTCATATCCTGCAACAAACGGCACATGCGTCAAGTGGTTTTACCACATGTACGGAGCCACAGTGAACACATTGAATGTGTACATAGTCAATACAGAAGGTACCGTTGGTGCACCTGCGTGGACAAATAGAAACAATCAAGGAAACATTTGGCGACTTGGAAAACTGTCAGTTGAAACAAAGACTTCCTTCCAGATAGTTGAAACAAAGAGTGCCTTCCAGATAGTGTTTGAAGGAATTGTAGGAAGTAGTGATAAAGGTGATATTGCTTTAGATGACGTCAGTATCATCGATGGGGCATGTTTGATAAACGGTAAAATACACTTTCATAAATATTATTTTTGCCACCTACGCCCTATAATAACAGTCTGTGAAAAATAAGGGGGTAACTTAAATAAGTAATTATAATATATATCCCCCACGCACTTTCTTACAAGTGACTGAAACGCTCACACACAGTGCAGATGTAGAAAAGCTAGGAAATCTTATAGTCTCAAATTTTAAATCATAGGAAACATTGCTGAAAAAATGCTTTCCTCACGCTCAGAGATCACAAACATCACCAGCAAAGCAAATGAACCGACACTGATAAACAACAAACTTTTAAAAGTAACTAGGTGTAGTGCGATAAACCCATACACTAAAACATCACTATACATCATATCATAAAAGAAGAGAAAAGAAGCCAGCAACCACAAAATTAACAACGCAACCAAATCAATTTCTACAAAGCTTAAAATTAGCAACAACTAAAAACCATTAATGAAGAAAGCTTTCATAAAATTTAAATACCATAACGAAAACTTTTTACATATAAAACTACAGACTCGTAAAACCATCAAAAAGCATAGGCAAGACCATTCTCGACCGGATAAACCATGACCTGCTCACAAAAACACATATTAACAAATTGAAAAACACCATTCCTGTCACTGAATGGTTTAAACCCATGCAGCACAAACCAAGTCCATCTCTTTAAACACTGTGGAACTCTAATTATCTATCACAAATATTGTTAACAGACGAAATCTAGTACGCACGAAAGCACACCGGAATTTCTGAAAACAAAGCAGATATAATTATTTACTCAACATGGACAAAGAAAAACGACATGTTTGACATTACTGTGGGAAGTTACGGGGGGGGGGGATAAAATATATTAATATGTCGGATCCTTTGTTTTCCAATTACTTTCCCTAAAACTTGGCAAAACCAATATCTGTTTTTGAATATTTACACTTAAAACATTTCTCTAACCTACTTAGGCGTTGAACTTAATAGTAATAAATGGGTACCTTGTAGGATGGTATGGCATATAAATGTATGGGTCTTGCGCGTTCAAGCAGCAATGACCAGGGATATTCTCCAGGGAGACGAAAAAATTGAACAATGTGCAGATCTGCTAATTCAGTATCCAGTAACCAGGGAAATAATGATGCCATTGCCTTGTATATTCGCTTGTAAAATCTGTGGAGTATATATACATATATGTATATATCAAAGTATTCCTACGTAACAATTCACTCTGAACTGCATTTTATTTCCTGTTTAATTATTGTATACTGTAGTTTAGTCACTAGCAATTAAGTCTTAGTATTACGCTAGCTCAAAAAAACCGCCAATAATCTATCGCTTACATAATCAATGTATATTAATCAATGTATATATAAAGACAAATGCGATTTTCATAACAATAATAATTCTATACAATTAGTATTCTGATGAGCGATGAGGTTATTTTGATACGAACAGAGTATGTCATTAATTAATATTCAATTTCTAATTAAAGAAACTTGCGATATTGACTGCTTGAACGGCGGAGTCTGTGTCTTGGATTACGGAATCGAGAACTGTCAGTGTATGTCTGGTTTTGTTGGACCAACTTGCAATATGTGTAAGTTTTTACAGCGATAAATAATGTGCAATACGTATTAAGCTAAATATAATAATAAACATAGTGTGCAGAACATGGTTAAAATGTATACAACATGATCAGTTTCTGAAGAAAAAAAATGTAAACATTATGCATAAATCTAGGCTAACAGAATGAATAATTAAAAAAAAAATAATGTTAACATCAGTAGTAAATTCCAGTTTTCAACCGAGATAATGTATATATTATCTCTTCTTCATCTATTATTTATTTTACTAATGATTCCAGAAAAGATCAAGACTTGACCGATTCTAACTGGAATACATAAACACAGATCTCTGGATGCCGGTGATGCCGGTGATGGTATTGATTTTTTTTCTTGTGTTTTTTTTTTTGCAATAATACCACAATCCCTTTTATTTCTTAGACCGTGTCGTCCATAGATCCATTACACTTACTTTTTTGCTGAATTCAAGTATGTATGGTATACAAAGTTAGACAAATTATATAT